GGGGAGGGCCGCGGGCGGGGCCGCATCGTCCGCTGTCTGACAGAGCAGCGCGGGGCTGCCCCTCGTCCGAGGCAGGGCGGCGAGGCGGGCGCGGGCCCGGGGACCTAACTAACGCGAGGCCACTTCCAAAGCTCCACGTCCTGTGGGATCCTGGGAGCAGAGTGTGGCATCACAGATGTCTCCATGGAAACAGCAGTCATTGTCTTAATGCCCCAGCCCCTAGGGAGCTTTCTGTCGGGCGGGGACGTGGAGCCGCTCCGCTGGGCCTCAGGGTGCTCAGAGCAGCGAGGAGGGCCCCCCACCCCCCGGCATCGGCGGCCATTCTCCTGCTTTTGTTTGTTTTTTTAAAAAATATGTTTTTATTGCTTTCAGAGAGGAAGGGAGAGGGAGAGAAACATCAGTGATGAGAGAACCATCCATCGGCTGCCTCCTGCACGCCCCCTGCTGGGGATGGAGCCCACAACCTGGGCGTGTGCCCTGACCGGGAATCAAACTGTGACCTCCTGGTTCCTAGGTCGATGCTCAGCCCCTAAGCCACGTGGGCTGGCCGGGCTCCTGGGGTTTTTGTTTCTGTCTGTTTGTTTTCCCATCATCAATAATTCACCTTATTTAAACCTGACACTGGCTCAGGGGCTCTGACATGGACACGGACGCCCTGGGTTCAAATCCACAGTTTGGAGCATGTGATGTCATTCTTTTAAAAAAATGGACGGGGACCCCTGGCTGGCGGCTGCGGCCTAGAGAAACGCTCACTGTGGTTTGGTTAAAACCTCGCTATCCGGCTCCTTGTTTGTTGTTGTTAAGCCTCACCCAGGGGTATTTTTCCATTGATTTTTAGGGAGAGTGGGAGGGAGAGGGAGAGACAGAGAGAGAAACATCGATGTGAGAGAGACACATCGATTCCTCGCCTCCCGCACACTCCCCAACCAGGGCCGGGGATGAACCTGTGACCAAGGTCCGTGCCCTTGACCGGAATCACACCCGGGACCCTTCAGTCCATGGGCCGACGCACTGTTCACTGAGTCACCCTGGCTTGGGCCACTGTCCCGGACACTTGGATGCACAGGCCTTGGGCTCACAGAGGACGTTAGGAAGTGGCCTTGGCCCGGCTGGTGTGGCTCAGTGGATAGCGTGTCGGCCCATGGACTGAAGGGTCCTGGGTCCAGTTGTGGTCAAGGGCACATGCCTAGGTTACGAGCTCCACCCCCAGTGGGGGGCGTGCGGCTGATCAGTGATCCTTGTCATGGATGTTTCTATTCCTCTCTCTCTCCCTTCCGCTCTGAAATCAATGAAAACATTAAGAAAAAAGAAGAAGTCGCCTTGTTGAGCCTCTGCATCGGGCTGGTTTCTTTATGGCCATTTCATGGTTTTAAAGCTGCAGTTTTTAAAAAAAACAACAAAAACAAAAGAAACAACAGGTATAAACGGCCCCATGGCGTGTGATTACATTTACGTAAAATGTCCAGGACAGGCAAA